ACAATAACGACTAATAAGTTCTAAATATCAAGAATGTTACAACATATTAAACAGGTAAGGGGAACTTGCTTACAATAACGACTAATAAGTTCTAAATATCAAGAATGTTACAACATATTAAACAGGTAAGGAGAACTTGCTTACAATAACGACTAATAAGTTCTAAATATCAAGAATGTTACAACATATTAAACAGGTAAGGGGAACTTGTTTACAATCTACAGATCATGCATGAGAAAACATATTACACAGATAAGGGGAACTTGCTTACAATAACGACTAATCAGTTCGAGAGATCATACATAGTAAAACATATTCTTAACTAAAATACATTTTGATACGAACTTAAGTCTCAATAAAATCTCACGAGGCTCGCACATTTCACTTGGAACCAACTAGCGTGAATAATAATAATTTCACCGTGTAGTAAAATAACTCTAATTATTAAGCGAGTCAAAAAAAGCAGCAATAGGTAGTTTTCAATTAAATGAAAAATAATAATAGTAACTAGCAGAAACCCGAAAAACATTTACGGTCAATTTAGTATCTTTATTGCAAAGTAATTTTTCAAATACAGGATTTCTAGAATAATACAGAAGAATTTTAATGTAATTCCACTTGCCTTAGGCCTAATAATAGTTAAGCCTTTATGAAGTACGGCCTATATTCGATAAAGTAATAATTAACACTAACTTGTGTACGTTTTTTGCTTTAGTTAGGGCTAAGCTTTACCGCCCTTAATACTATCAATACCGCATCCCACCAAACATGCTCGCCCTTTCAGCCGTGTGGGGCGTTATAATTTGACGGTCAATCCCACTATTCGTTGGTAAAAGAGTAGCCCAAGAGTTGGCGGTGGGTGGTGATGACTAGCTGCCTTCCCTCTAGTCTTACACTGCTAAATTAGGGACGGCTAGCGCAGATAGCCCTCGTGTAGCTTTGCGCGAAATTCCAAAAACAAACAAACAAACAATACTATCAATAAATTTATAATTTTACTCTACGACCTAACGTAATACGTGTTTTTTTATAGCTAAGCCACATCTGGCTATCTGCTTGTCTACCGAGGGGAATCGAACTCCTGATTGTAGCGGTGTAAATCCGTAGACTTATCTCTGTCCCACTGATGGATTCTGATGTTAGATATTTTAAAAACTTTGATAACATTTTAATATGCTCTTGTACAAAATGTCTACTGAACTATACTTACATCCACCTTTTATATCTATTTTTTTACACCCGTTGAAATGATGTGCGCGTTTATGCACATTTAGATAGTAAGGTGCGCACGCTTTCATGACAAACAAAAACTGAGTATTATTATTATAGTAGATAAATGTACGCAAGTTGAGGCAACAGAGCTAATGGACAAAATCTGTTTTGTGTTGAATAAAGTTTAATACAAACATTCCCATTCAGATATAGCATGAATTTGAAATCGGTGAAGAGCAGTGTGCTTAAATATTTGAAATTATTAGCTAGATAAACAATGTCAGATCCTGAGTAACATCTTAAAATATTGAATCTCTATACCAGCCTTTAAAGGTCATATATATATATTTTATTTATTTTTTGGTGTTGAATGCTGATACCGGTACGTTAAGCAACTTCAATGCAAATATTTACTGAAATACACATTGTGTTGTGTATTTATGAGAAACAAAAGTTGAAGTGTTCTCATATAGAATTAATCAGACTATCTGGTGACATGATTAGCAAGGCAATGTTATTTAGAGTTATATTTATGGGTTAAATTATTTTATAAAATTCTGATGAAACAGCGTGCAGGTGCAGTCAGAAGAAAGTTGATAAAAATATTAAAGAATGCGGAGAATTAAAACTTTTCTTCACTGGTCAGCGCCCTTAGCAAGGGACTGGTGCATTACTCTCCTTCTACAAAATGGCTCTGATAGTAAGCCAGCCTTTAAGAGTATTACCATGGCTTTGCTTGTAATTATAGTTTTCCCCTCTCTTGTGTTCTACATAGAGTATGTTTGTTTGTTTTTAATTAGGCACAAAGCTACACAAGGGCTATCTGTGCTCTGCCCACCACGGGTATCGAAACCCGGTTTCTAGCGTTGTAAGTCCGCAGACATTCCGCTGTGCCACTGGTGGCGCCCGGCATGGCCAGGTGGTTAGGGCGCTCGACTCGCAATCTGCGGGTCGCGGGTTCGAATCCCCGTCACACCAAACATGCTCGCCATTTCAGCCGTGGGGGCGTTATAATGTGACGGTCAATCCCACTATTCGTTGGTAAAAGAGTAGCCCAAGAGTTGGCGGTGGGCGGTGATGACCAGCTGCCTTCCCTCTAGTCTTACACTGCAAAATTAGGGAAGGCTAGCGCAGATAACCCTCGTGTAGCTTTGCGCGAAATCCATAACAAACAAACAAACCACTGATGGGCCTAGAGTACGAAAGAGCTTTATGTGTCCTAGGATAAAATTAAACGCGATCCAACAAACCGTTCTTGGATTATTATCTTAGCGAGATGTCAGTGTGTAACACATTGGATGCAGAATGTAAATAGCTTAGTTTCCACAAGATTAACAACAATGTTCAATTACCTCAGCGAAATTTCAGACCATGGATGAAAATAAAAGGAAATATCATTTGATGTGCAACAATAAAGGCATCTTCACAACATTAGCTAATAAAAAACTGTTATAAACAATTATCCGTGTTAATAATGATTATCCGTTCTGTTAATTCTGTTCGTTTCGTTGTCAGCGCAACAATTATACACCGAATAAGAAACTAAATGACTTATAAATTGCTGTTAACATCTTTCTTATCAATAAGCTTCTAAAAAGTTCAAATCAAAAATTAAGTAAAGTTCATCTTTTGCCATTATCTACCACACACACACTAATGAAGTGTGAATCGTGAGTCATTTTTTTACACAATATTCTCTACTTTATTTACAGATGCTGCTGAAGTGTGACAGGATTGGCAATAATTAAATCCCAGTTGAAACCGTTTAATCCAGGATTGGCAATAATTAAATCTCAATTGAAACCGTTTAATCCAGCCATATTCCTTCGGGAAAGTTGACATAGAAATAGTTACAATGTTAGAAAAACTTAAACTTATAACAAGAGAATCTCACTGCTTTTCAAACAACAATACAAAGTGAATGTTTTCTTTGCGAAGTAATATATTTTGCCACGTTTCATTGATGATTGACATTGTTTTATATAATACGTGATTCTATGGATCGTATAGTTTCCACATCAGAGACTGTAAACATTGTCATGTCACGTAATATTTCATCAAGCATAATTGTATATACTTAGCTCTTACTTGTTCTTGAGTTAATATCTTAGTTATTTATCATCATCGGACTTTATTCTATTCAAAACCAAAATTAATGTTATACATGTACAGTTGTTCGGACGATTTATCTTACTCGAAATGTTAACAATTATTAAGGTATATCATATATTAAAATACAATTATTATTTTTCCTTTTCTAGTATTTGTTTCAGTCGTTCAAGATACCCCACACTTTCAATTGGCATTACTATTTGTGAAATGCTAAAAATATATCAGTCTTTCTATAGGTTGTGCCTTGGTTTACTGACCTAAAAACGGAAAACTTTAGAACAGGAAATATCCAGACTTGTGCACTTTGATATTGATAAAGTGTTCTGCGAGGCATCGAGTTGTATGTTTTCAGTTGAACAATGTTTACATAACTCGTCGAAGCTGTTGAACAATGTTTACATAACTCGCCGAAATAACCGAACAATGTTTACAGAACTCGTCGAAGTAGTTGATCAATGTTTATATAATCGACGTAGTGTTTTTCCAAAGGAAGTTTAAGGAAAAATTAACTATATATATATATTCCTTTATCAGTAAATACAGAGATGATCCTTAATTATACCCATTTTCAATAATGCTATCCAGTTATAGATATGATTAATATTTAGAATTATCTTATGAATAGAGTAAGACTGCGAAATCCATGTCATTACTAGCTAGTTAGTGAGTCTTATTATGAGAACTGAGACTGGCAAAACTATGAGTTATCATTTCAATTCATCATCGTTGAATATTTTATGAGTCATGTGGGTAAGTAAGTAAGTTTTTAGCGCAAAACTGCACAGTTCTGTTTACCGCGGGAAATTTAACCGTATATTTTAGCTATGTAAGCCAGTAATCTTATTGCTGATCCACCTGTGAACGCGTAAATGATGCGACTGGATACAATATGAAATAAAGGGATTGTTTTAAAATGAATATTACCTAATAAAATATGAAACTTATAAAACACATTAGATTATTTTAAATTCCGAGAAAAACGAAAAAATAACGCTCTTTATTGTTAGTCTTGTAAAATAAATAGAGAACAAACCTTTTACGAAATTAAGAAGAAGAGAAAGTGGGAAACCTTAAAATGAGGAAGTCTTAAATATTTTTGTGAAATTAAACTGAAACGTTAGTTAGAGTAGAGTATTTTTTTTTAGAAATTCGAATAAATAGTTTGAATAAAACTCAAACAAACAATTTGTCAATTTTAAAACACAATTTAGATTATCTTGAAACTATTGTTTTAAATACAAACTAACACAACAAGAATACCTGGAAAACATAAACTCACTAATATCTTAATTAAACTGATACATCTTTGTTATCAAACTCAAGAGAAAATATATATTCAAAACGAATAATTGTTTGAAATGTCAACGATTTTCTCCTCAAGAGTATTTAAAAACTTAACCGCCCCCAGTGGCACAGCGATATGTCTGCGGACTTACAACGCTAGAATCCGGGTTTCGATTCCCGTGGTGGGCAAAGCACAAATATCTCTTTGTGTAGCTTTGTGCTTAATTACAAACAAACAAGAAAACTTAGCCAACGAACAGTAAGGAAGGTACTACTTATCCTTAAGAAAGGTAAACATTTAAACCAATTCATTTTTCTTAAATCAGAAGATTATTAAATCCCCCTTTAAACTAAATGATGTTAGTTTGTTTATCAACAAGACATATTCTTACCGTTTTTGGGCAAGTTCTGGACTACTTTGACAGCAACAATAAATTGTTCGTCTAAAGTTGTCATGATGAAGCTAGCGTGTTTCGAGCCTATAAATGATTAGCAAACAAAGCAACGTGCTTTTAAATGAAAGTGAGTGGTGTAGTAGCGCCCTCTATTGCAGGAATCAGGATGAGAAAGTCTGGTGTGGTTCCAATCGACCCTACAATTATTCTAAATTATGCTTAAGTGTAACCCAAAACTTGATGTTATAGTTAGATAGATACACCGTTATGTGCAGAAACTATTCGCAAACAATAATAGGGAAGTTTATGCTTTGAAGGTGTATTCAGGTTTAGGTACAGGAAAAATATAGGTTTCAGTGAAATCAAAACATTCTAAAGACAACTATTCGAAATGATTAGAATTTTTCATTTAAAAAAATACGTTCACTGTTATCATTTACAAAAAATAAAAATAGAAGATTCCAATATTTAACGATTTATAAAGCTAAAAACCGGGTTTCGATACCTGTGGTGGGCACAGCACAGGTAGCCCATTGTGTAGCATTGCGCTTAACAACATAAAAACAAACAAAAAACCAAGATTTAGTAAAATAATCAAGATATACTTTTAACCAATTTAAATACATTAAAATACATTTCAGACAGGCAAATTCTAATGCAATTATTAAAATCATGCTCAGTTCACTATATTTCTGTTTTCATTGTTTCGATTATTCGAATAAGTTCATATAAGTAAAATATGATCAAGTAAACAAGACACATTATTGTTTTTCCACCCTTATAAACGCGGAGAAAACTCAGGCAAATATTGATTTGTTAACATATCCTCAACCACGTGCCATAGCTTGTAATAACAGATTTACAATGAGAATGATGTTAAGTGACAAACATCTAAAGTGGCTATGGTTGATCGTTATAACAGAAAGTCGTTGTTTTTAGACAAACAAAACATACATCATATGATTAGAGGACTGTCTAAAACTCTATTTGTGTAAAGTACAATAACTATTAGATTCAAATACAGGTTTTAAAAAAAAATCAAATGTTTTGAATCAGTAAATTTTCTCACAACACACTGATACTTATTAGATGATTTTAATAATTATTAAACTTCTTGTTATACTTATTAGATGATTTTAATAATTATTAAACTTCTTATTATACTTATTAGATGATTTTAATAATTATTAAACTTCTTGTTATACTTATTAGATGATTTTAATAATTATTAAACTTCTTGTTATATTTATTAGATGATTTTAATAATTATTAAACTTCTTGTTATACTTATGAGATGATTTTAATAATTATTAAACTTCTTGTTATACTTATTAGATGATTTTAATAATTATTAAACTTCTTGTTATTAGATGATTTTTGGTCGTTCAAGCAAACTTTATCTAAATATTATTAAACTATTTTGGGGCATCCGAAAAAGAGGGTTAAACTATCTCTTGAGAGTGATGCCCGAGGGAAAAAAAGTGTAGGAAGAATCTTTGATATTACGTAAGAGCCCCCCTCTCCCCACCTTAATCGGCTGAGCCCAGCTTTTATTTAAAGACAAAAATAGGAAAGCACCTTGGTTATAGAGTTTCGTGTTTTTGTCTTTAATTGCTTTTTTTGAACCTAAGTGTTTTCCTAACTTTTATTTGATAGGTGCTCAGAAAGAAGGTGGAAGGAGGATAACCAGTAGACAAAGAAATATAAAATGTGAACAGTTTTAGTAAGGTCAACACAATCATATGAAGCCATCACTTTGCATTCAAGATACCCGACATCAGAAAATATTTATGTTTTACATCTACATAGAGATGATGAACGAAAATCTGATATAACGTGTGAACAAACGTCCCGAAACGGCGGAAATTAGCCTCGATCCAAGCTAAAAGCTGCTGGTCATAGGTCAATTGGCTTATGTAACGTCGTAACAACAATCACTGTACGTTATTCCACTGGTGGGACATGACAGATTTGGTAAACGTCATATTGAAGTGATCTCCACGTGGGCTTACACGAACATATGGTCGTAAAAGTTTATTAACTATTGCTAGAAATAGGAATTTTAATGACTGTTACAAATGGTTTTATTTAGAAGTCTTAAGGCGTGGATCGAACGATAATTATATGGTTGCTGGGAAATGTTTGATACTTGAGAAGAAGGAATCTGTACAGGGAAAAAAATTCTAAAAGAAGTTCATGGTATTTTATTCACAAGTTAGAATTTTTGAAGTACCTACTACCTCATTTCACGAAATTTCTTGCATATGCTGATAATTTTCTTTATTAGCCAATTTCATGGAAATTGGTGTAAAAATGTCAGAGGTTGTCTATATCAGAAATTCAGAACAATTCCTTAGTAAAAACACTTTGTAAAATTGAGGAACAGTCATAGCTCAGTTTCTATTTAAGGAATTTATCATAAGTAGGTCATATAAGTAAGAAAGCTCATTGCTGCTACAATAGGAGTCTAGAGAATAAGAAATACATAAGTTATTGACCCGTATGTTATACATAAAAAATAATTAGCGAAACAAATATTTTGTATTTTTTTTTTACCTTTTGGCACTGAGTAAATTCTCTCGAACTGACTGGCACTCTTATTTTTTACATTCCTTGTGCAAAGTACTCTGCCACTGCTCTTAATATAAAATTATGCCTAAAGACAAACGCATGATTTTAAAGTACATCTGTAGTAACATTTCGTTATCTCATTAATCGGGACGGGACATGCGTTCTTGGAAAATAACGACAGCGATTACTTGCGGTGCACAATTTGTGTGTGTTCGTAGTAACACCTAAAATAAGCGTTCCACCGTTTTTAAGGAGACTAAAAAACTTGGGGGGGGGGGGGTTCTGTGGCAACGAAAATTATGATTTTTAAATCATTGAAATAAAAAAATCTTTTTAAACACATACATGCGTCTTTTGGTAAAGAAAATTCACAAATCATATTTATTCCTTGTTTTTATACAATAATATTTGTAGAAAATGCGCCTTTTATATAGAAATTTTGCAGAAAGTAACTTCTTCTGTTACAAGACGAGGCTATTGTAAAGCAAAACCCAACTAAATCTCTGTTTACACTAAGTGAAAATGTTGATGATTGTTAGAGAAGTTAGAGTATAAGTGAGGAACAGCTTTTAAGCAAAACATCTAAACACATAACTTTCAAATCACGGAGATATTTATAACATCAAAATATATCACGTTTTGGTAAATCATCTCAACTAATCTAACACTGTAATTGTGTTCAAATGAGGAATAACTTTTAAGCAGAACACAATTACAGTGTTAGATTAGTTGAGATGATTTACCAAAACGTAATATATTTTGATGTTATGAATATCTCCGTGATTTGAGAGTTATGTGTTTAGATGTTTAAATGAGGAATAACTTTTAATCAGAACACAATTATAGTGCTAGATTAGTTGAGATGATTTGAGAGTTGTGTGTTTAGATGTTTAAATGAGGAATAACTTTTAAGCAGAACACAATTACAGTGTAAGATTAGTTGAGATGATTTGGGAGCTATGTGTTTAGTTTTGTAACAGCTGACTCTGCAAATCGTTTAGACAAAATATACTCGTATGTTTTACTTTTAATGAAAATTCAATTAATCTCATATGATGAGTAAAAGGCACAAAATATTTATTTTGTTTTTTTTATGTAAATTGCAATATATACATGTATATTACCATATAAACTCTACCAAAATACTTTACTAACTATACATCGATGAGCTCCCAACTATTATTGATTTGATGAATTTTAAATTGTCATGTTGTATTTTCTTGTCTGTGCAGTCGTAAGGCGCTCTTACTGTTAAGGAATGTAACTATACAAAATGAAAGAAATTGTCTCTTTATGAAGTTTGGAGGATGTTTTGAACGTCTTACTACTACTATGTTAGGTAAGCCTGGGGATGACGTTTCAAGATTTCCCCAGCCTCCCCACCCCATACAATACCTTAAATATACTTCAGAATGGAATAGCCAACGCTCATAAATGTTATAAGCACCGAAAACGCTAAACTATGTATACAAGACATCGTTACATACGTGTTACGTTTGTAAAGTTTGGGATGACGCAAAGGAGACCTTGGTAAATGGTATTACTGTATTTATCACACTTTTGTAGCAGAGATCGAACTTTAGTAAAGAAACTGCTTCTAGAAATTCTAAATTGGTTCGGCTTTATTTATTAAGCTAACTTAGCTACCAAGGCGTGTTAGAAACTGAGTTAATTCAGCAAATGGAAATTATTGGGGTTACATTTATTGCGGCAACGAAACACATATTTTTATGAATTTAAGACGCAATAATTAACACGTACCAAACCAGCCATACAAGTGTAATTAGAAAAATTTTATGCTACTCACATTTTTACGATACGTTTTCACTAAAATATGACTGTGCTATATAACGTTTTTAACGAATACAAGAAAATGAGTCCCTTAGGTGGCATTGTTCTTTCCAGTGAAATACTTTCACGTGCAAAATACATATTCATGAACTTCAATAACCAGACATATGGCGCATTCAGTACCATTTTGTTGTTTATTCGTACAGCTGGTGTACAGTTTCCAAGCTCTGAGACGACCACCAACAGTTAATGGGCAAGATTTGTATCATGTGATAAAACACGAAAGTTTTTTTCTCAGATTAATATATGCAGTATGTGAATCGTGGACGTGTTTGCTCAGATTAATGTATGAATCGTGTAAGTCACGAAAGTTTTTTCTCAGGTTAATATATGAATTATGCGAATCATGGACGTGTTTACCTAATATTACATGTAGATTATTTAGTTTATGAACGTTTTTGTTCAAGTTTATATGTAGATTATGTACATGTAAACATTGAAACCATAATCTTAAATTTAGAACGATATATGTTTAATGTTTGTTGATATTCACAAATTTGAAATTCCTTTAATTAACAAATAATAGTCTTTTGAATTCATTTTATAATAGTCGATAAGCTCTCCCTGCAAGCTTCACAGATTCTTTTACTCTCTTGATAAAGAGAATCTCCCCAGGCCTAACAGATGTATTTACTTTACTGGTGGATACGAT